AAAAAAATAGAAAGAGGAAAAAATAGAAATACGATAAGAATACGATAAGAAATATAATATTTCTACCACTATGTATATATACATATATATATATATATATATATGTTTGTTGATATCATTTAATGTCTAGTTGATTAAAAAAATCTTTTTATGATATGTTTATATTTTTATAATCAAATTGGATAAGATATGCTATGTGTGTTGCTCTATTAGTGAGGCATGAGAGTTAACACACAGATTCAAATTGAAGTTCAAGTTTATGTGCTTGAGATAAAGCCATGATCGAGGATACGAAGCGCCGACGGAGCTGGTTTTACCTCCATAGTAATATGATCATATGTGACGTTCGTCTTGATGCCGAATGGCCACTTGATGTGCAACAAGTCTTTGTTCAATTGCAGCAGAAAGACGATCAGGACGAAGAGGGCGTTCATCATAAAAAACGCAAAGACACTCTGGTCGCGTAGGTCCTTTAGATCTTTGGCGATTCGTGCCTGATCGGAGCAGCATGGCGTATATTAATTCAAATAGATGAAAAATGCGTAATAAATAAATACTCTCTGCGAAACATAAAAATTTTACTTCAAGGAGTAAACTTCTTTTATTCAAATCAATTTAATTATTTTTCTTCAATTTCTATTTTGATTTTATTTGGATCAAATTGCTTAATTTAATTGTTTATTTGGTTTTACAAAGACGAATTTTGTAAATTATTTTTTCATCCTTGATCAATAGCTTGCAGTAACAAAGGCGTATCGCGGATTTTATTGTGAGAAAAGTCATTCTGGTTTCGAAAAAAATTTTTTTTTATTGTAAAATCACAAAATTAATTCATAATAATTACATCAGAATAATAAAGTAAAGGACTCTGATAGTAACAACAAAGTTAATATATCGACAGATAATAAAAGTAAAAAATTATAAAATTAAAAATAAAAATTATATATATATATTGAAGAAAAGATCAATTATTTTATACTTTGCAAATCGTCATATTACAAAAATATCAAGAATTCACATACATGTTTCGGCTTCAAGATTGAGCCATTCTTAGATATATAAAAAAAAAATTACAAATTCTTTGGGGAATAATGTAAAAACACAGTAAACAATTAAAAATAAAAATAGAAGATTTGAGAGGCCAAGTGAAGCTCTGGGAAGATTTTCATTCGGCCTCTCAAATCTTCTATTTTTATTTTTAATTGTTTGTATTTTTACGTTATTCAACAAGTTTAAGAAAAAATTGAATAAAGCCCCAGTATATCGTCGCGTTACCTTCTCCGCTTTGTCCTCATCGATCGGGTAGAGATATTTCTCCAATAGATCCTTCCAGAACTGTTCCTCCTGCATCGACAGCACGTCCACTTCGCCCTTCTTCAGACCCTCGTCGGTTAGCCAGTACGGTCTCGAGAGGAAGTTGCTGCCATCACGATTACCTTCGGTATTCTGACTGGTCACCGTCTCTGTCTCGCTACCCTCTTCGTCCTCGGGATCCTCGCCAATGGCACCCAAGTGATCAGCGGTGCGCGAACCTACGGAAGAGGCTCTCCTTCGTCCGGAAACGTGACTGTGAGGATCTACCGCTCTGTAAAAAAAAAAAAAAAATCACAAAATTAACTTTGATAGAAATTTTATTTTTGAATAATTATTAGATAGTTGTATTAACTCTGTCTACAGTAACTAAATAAAACTACTTAGGATTCCAATCAAGGGAATGCTTTGTTTGCAGTTACTGCGCAAAATCTGAATCTATTTACTGAACAAAAATGGGTCATTAAATGGACTATGCAGTATTTTAATTAATAATCTATTACTATATTATAGAAAAGAAAGATGACGCGGAATCTTCCCGAAAGATTTAACGAGGAAGCAAGTACGGACATGTGTTGCTAACCGGATCGCAGTAGCAGTGATCGCGTGGTATGGAGCGACCAATCAGACGGGGCGATTTTGAACGAACTAATAGAAAAGAACGGGAGGGCGCGCGCCGCTGGGAGGCAGGAGAGCAATCCCTGGGGAAGAAATCGTGTCTCTTGAGGTCGGAGGAAAAATAAAGGACTTATATATATCCAAGATCTTCCTTTTCATAAAAAATTTTGAATCTTTCTGTTATATTTATCAGATGTGGGATTCGCGAATGGACATTTATATGATTATCATATAACCTTATTTCGTTAGTGAAATGGTGATGAGTGAAAAAAGACTATGCGAGTTATGGCGGACGAAGACTTTCGAGTCACGCAATTGAAAGCAACTCTGAAGTAACTAAAATTATCGCTAGCGGAAAATAAAGTGACGCTGTTAAAAAGATTATACATAACACCCGAATAGATCATGGAGGGAGATAGTAAGAAATATGCAAATGGAGAAAGAAAATTAACAGACGACTCAAGACAAGCTGTCGGATTATGAACTAGCAGCAGGAGGGGAGGAACGAATCCCGACGGACAGATCACCTTAAAATCCAAAAGCAAGAATCGTCCAAATCGACACTGTCAACAAATCAATGATGACAAGCAGCAAGGCAAAGTGAAAAAACCGAAAGAACGACCGCAGGATATTAAGTGCTATAATTACAACAAGATTACAAGGACACATTTCACGAGATTGCAGCAGGCTAAAGAGGGAGCCAGGTTCGTGCTATGAATGAGAGATGGGTCACTGGGCTTCTCAAAAGAAGCAGTAACATCCACGGAGGCGAATTGGAAGGACATCGAGGCACAGGTTTCCAGTGTGATCGAGCAGAGTAGGGACAGTAATGAATATATGAAGCGTAGAAATATAGAGAAGATACCACCGATTTGGAGTATAGATTCGCCGCGGATTCACAGTTAGACACCGCATGTTCGATTAGCTTGATTAAATCTAAATTGTGTCGGTTCGATATCGCAGGCTGAAAATGAGCATTATGAGGGTATTATCTCCGCGTTGGAGATCATATTGTGTTCGCATGAATAAATTTTGAGGGCGAAATATCGAACGAGTTGAAATTATGCGTACCGAATCATACTATGTGATGTGACATGTTGCTTAGTAGAGGATTAAGAAAATTGGATTTTACTATGGCGCGAATACAAAGGAGGTTGAGGACAATGCGAATGAAATATTATACATTGACATGAGTGAGACGGTCGTGAATGAGATGGATAAATTTAACATAAATCCGAATTTACCGTACGCGATCAGGAACTTACAGAAAAGATTCGTTCATGTTACTTAAAAACTACGAGGCCACCGAAGCTTAAAGTAAGAGCAGAACTAAAATTACATGTAAAAAAGGAATTCCACTTTGCACCTGGTAAATTATCAATTGATGAAAAAAACAAAAGTCGTACCATTCTAGACGACTTGTTAAAACGGGGTATTCGTCCCAGTAATTTCGAATATGTCTCCAGGATTGTGAGTTGATATGGAAAAAGGAAATCTCGACTGTGCATAGATTAACGTGTTCTTAATAAAATTACTGCACGTGACAATTTACCGATAACTGAAGAACAGATGCAAGAAAAGCATTATTTTATGTTACTAGATCTCAAAAAGATCTCACGGATTTCACCACGTATATATAGAGAAAGATATATAGCGCCAAATATACTGTTTTTATTACGCCTTTCGAATTGAAAAACATGCCGACTCGGTTTCAGCAGTTATTTCGTTAATAATGTCTTGTGTAATTTAATTGAGAGCGATAACGTCGTGACTTGTATGGATGATTTCCTTGTTGCCACCGAGATTGTAGAAAAGCATTTAGAAATGCTTGAACGTATTTTTAAGTTATTTATAGAAAATCGGCTCGAATTGCACCTGAGCAAGTGCCATTTCATATTTGAGGAGATTGAATTTTTAGGATACGTGTCGGCCAAGAGTATTCATTCGAATGATTCCAGGATAGCGACCGTAAAAAAGTTCTCGATCCCTAAATGTAGGATGTTTAGTTTTCTCGAGCTCTATATTAGAAAATGCTTCTATTTTAGAAAATTCATAAAAAATTTTTCGGTAATCGCGGGACCTCTACTATGATTTAATTAAGAAGGGAATGATGTTTGAGTTTGGCCGGAAACAAACGGAGGCATTCGAATTATTGAAAAGCAAGTTAATCTCTGTGCAGATTTTATGAGACGGAACTTCACTGACGCAAGCTCGCGGGGTTTCGGTACTGCTCCAACAGAAAGCCAATGGACATTTTTATCCGATCTTCTATTTTTCGAAAAACTACGAAAATCGAATCGCGCTAGCTACGAGAAACATTCGCCATAGTATACGCCCTAAAAAGATTTCGTATGTATCTTCTATCCCTTTCAAGATAATTACTGAAATGCGCTTGTCATGACGTTGAGTATTGAGTAAAAAAGAGATAAATCCACGAATCGCGCGGTGGGCGCTTGAATTGCAAAATTTTGACGGAGCATAGGCCGGGCAACATGTGGACGTGTTGAGTCGAGCGGAATTTTAGTGATAGAAGCGAATACTTTCGAGTATGAACTGTCCGTTTGTCAACTGCAAGATCCGATCATTAAAGAATTGAGAATACGTTTAGAAAAGGAACAAGATAGCCTGAAATGCGTCTCGTCTATCGTAAAAGGAGTGACAAAGTTCTGTTTCTTGTCTCGCGCGCGATGGAACAGGACTTATTTTACAAATATCATAGTGACTTTGGTCATTTCGGAATAGATAAAACATTAGCATTATTACAGGAAGTACTACTGGTTCCCAAAGATGAAGGCCAAGGTCAACGAGTTCATAAGAAATTGTACGACATGTATTGCTTTGTTGGACAAAAACGAAGGTTTCATGCATACTATATTAAAGGGAAACGTCCTTTCGATAAATCCTTTTCGACGATATATGTTGATCATTTTGGTCCTGTAGATCGAACGAACGCCACGAAAAAGTATATATTTCTAGTTATAGATGCCTTTACTAAATTCGTAAAATTGTATGCGATAAAAATTATAACTTCCCGCGAATAATACGATGTTTGAAGGATTATTTTAGTGCGTACAGTAAACCGTGATCCTTAATATTCGATCGAGGAATTAATTTTACGTCAAAGGAATTTGAAGAGTTTATGAAGGAAGTTAAAATAGAATATGTAAAGATTGCAACAATACATCGCCTCAAGCGGGCAGATCAAAAGATATAATAGAATTCTAGCATCGGCACTAGGTAAATTGTACGAACGGAAAGAAGTGGCACGAATCCTTAGAGGAAATAGAGTTCGCTATAAATAATATGATAAACTGGAGTACGAGCGAAATCCCCAGTCGATTATTGTTCGGAGTGTCGCAGCGAGGACATGTGTTCGACGCGGTTAGAAAGTACGTCGAAAATGAAAACAAGGAAGGCGAAAGAGATTTAGAACGAATACGAGTGAGAGCAGCGGAGAGAATTGAAAAGGCGAACTTGTATAATAAAATTTACATAAACAAAAGGTATAAAGAGGCGCGAGAATACTCGGAGGGCGATCTCATTATAAAAAATTTCGAAGCTAGGAAAATTGATTCCAGCATATAGAGGATCCTACCGTGTTATTCGTAAATTGAAAAATGGTCGGTACATCGTGGCAAACGAAGGTTGCTAGGTCTCACAACGACTCTTTTGAAGGACATGGGAAGTAGTCATGAAATCTTGAAGACATGAAACCTTGGCGCAACCGGCAGACAGCGACTTTAAAAATGTGGAAGATGACTTGTAAGAATTAGCTATAAGACGGCCGGAACGACCTATGGCCGAAACTGTAGTAGAAGAGAGATGACGCGGAATTTTTCCGAAATATTTAACCAGGAAGCAAGTACGGACATGTTCATGTTCGTATATGAGTTGCTGGCCGGATCGCGCAACGTGGTATAGACCAATCAGGTGGGACGACTCTGAGCGAGCCAATAGGAGAAAATACTGGGCCGGGAGACAGTGAAGCAATTCCTGGCAGCTTTCTTCTCTTCGAGAAGAGATCGTGTCTCTCGAGGTCGGAGGAAAAAATAAAGAACTTATATGTCCAAGTACTTCTTCCCTTTCATTAAAAATTTTGACCTTTTTTCTACACTATTAAACTATAACTGCAATGAGAAAAAAAGGTTGCTGTTTCAAAAAAATTAGTTGATTCAACTATTACTGAATGTAGCGGTCATGGGCTGTCAAGCAAATGAATTTGATAATTCAAGTAAATATTTGTTAATTCAAATAAATAACATGTTTTAAATTAAATGATTTTGTTAACCTAAATATATAAATATTTGAACTACTAAATCACTACGAAATAATTTTAGTCAAGTTAACAACTTTCTTCTCAGTGTGGGCAAGTATCTACACAAATTGTATATTTATCAGCAAAATTGTTTTGGTCACTAATAAAACTATTATGTTCTTGTTCATTTTTTTACATAGTATTGACTAAAATACAGTGATATTAAAACAATTGACTATAATAATTAATCAATTTCTTACCGGTTAAAATTTAAATTTAGGTTTATTGTAGAAAAATAAAAAATAATTAATGTAATGACATTGCTTTATATATATTGAAAAAACATTAATTTAAATAAACATATTTACTATAAATAAATATTTATTTAGTATTATTCAAAGAAATAAGTAAGATTTAGTAAATTTTTTTTCAATGTGAATCAAAAAAATATTTTTAATCTATTTTCATAGAGTTCTGATATTTTCTAGTGTTAGTGTTTTCAGACATTACTCGCACAATTCTGAATCTTTTTTTTGTAATCTGAAGTGCCTTTCACTTTTGCGAGATCTCTCTAAAGACATTTTACGCCTGACTCTATAATTTTCGATAATCTTTCAATTCAAATGTCATCTTATGCAGTTTTTTTCTTACCTTTCGATAGTCTCGAGCCTTTTGCCGAGTTGCTCGAGCGACTCAGCGATTGCTACGAGCTGCTGTTTCTCGGCGGATGGTTTTCCATGAGTGCATAGCAAGCATTTGAACAAGCCGGCCAACGATATCTCAATGGAACCCTGATCGTCGTCATTGTTACCCGCGCCGTTCTGTAGGAAGCCAAGCAAGGACTTCTGTTTGGCTTTACGCTTTGCTTCCTCTGCTTCTCGTTTCTCTTGTTCGAGTTCCTGAATCGCACGAATGATCATGATAAATACACGGAAACTTAGTCGCCGTGTGTTTCTTGTTAAGTTGTGAGGGATAAAATTAGTTAAACAGATTATATAATACCATATAGTATAATAGATAATATTAATAAATCAAAGCAACGATCCACTAACGATTTGCTTTTAAGAAAAATATTTCATTAGAGGAATGAGATTTTAATAATAAATAATCTTTTTTCTAAATTCATATTCATTTAGCTTTATATTTATATATTTAATTATATTTCAATTTTAATTATCTAATAAAATTAATAAATACGTCAAACTTTATTTTTAATTTAATTTATATAATATATCCAATATCTTTACAATTTTATCTGAACTCTACAATTCTAATTGAACCAATTGCAAAACCAATTGCAGGTCATTAAAATTAATTGAATCAAATTAATAAAATTTTTAAAACTTTTAATTTCTTATATTTTTTAATTCTCTGTAGAAATCTTAATTTTATAGTCTCACTTTAAAAAGTGAAATCTTAAAAACTGAAAATTCAAGTTTTTTTCAAGATTGGCTCAGTTATCACTCTTTAGAGTGAGATTCCACTTCAAAAAAATTAGATAGTAATAAATTAAAATTTTCGACGCGCCTCAATCATAATTTTCTAACGGGTTAATTAAAAAGCATAAATAATATTCTAACATATGTATGTACAAAGCAAAAAACAGGAACATTCGAATCAGTATAAATCAATTGGAATTAGTAAAGTGAACGAGATTAATTACCACGTTGCTCTTCTTTGTTACAATTTCCCGCGTGCCCCAGAGATGTTGTTGAGATTGCAGAGTAAATATGTGATTAATAGCACGTACATCGAGAGCACCAGGTAATAGATCAGATCGTGCAGCAATTGATTTCGTACGAGTGCAGGAGGCCCGCGATCATAAATTCATCCAACATGAGGAACAGAAACCATGCACTTGGCGATATTACGCTGTCGATATTCCTGCATGATGTTTATCGCGAATGCAACGATCACCACGGTCATCACGATCGCGTATATGGTGTTGATCGTGGCTGCTACCATCACCTGTCATTAAAGACCATTAACCTTCATGTGCGCTTTTCAATTCTGAGTTAAGCAAAGCTAAAGCTGAAGCGTGACGTTTTTATAATGAAGCAAACGATTGGGGATTGATTCATCTAACGAGGGAATCTCGACGAGATCATCTCCTTATCGGAATACAGCCTCATCTGGCTCGTGAATTGAAGAGTATTAAAACTGCTTTAAGTGCTTTACTAATAAAATTAAACGTGAGATAGTAGATCTAATTTATTTGGTAAACAATATTAACTGAAAAATATAATAAATATTGAACTAAAAATTATAAGATTTAAATAAAAATATTAAGATACTGACTCTTTTTCACTGAACATGGCCTTTCTTGTGTTAAAAAGTATTATTTTTGTAATAAACTTAGACTTTTAGTTGGCAACTGAGAAATTATTCTCACTTTGCATAGCAACTTATAATTTCGTGATGAAAATGAATTCGAAATATGTGGTGTTTAATATTTTTCGTAACAGCGCTGATGTTTATATGAAAAAAAATATCGAAATGAGGATTCAAAAACCTGAACCTTCACCATTTCAAAGCCCCATTCACCAGAATTATATCCAGAATTATATTTATATAGTTACGACTCAGTGTCAAAATAAAAAAATAAATTTAAAAAAGGATGGAAAAAAAGGATCAACACTGACGAACCTTCTTGGTCTTTTTCGTTTGGACTTCCCTGGTGCCCCAGGATACAACATTAAGATTGATGATGGAGTACAGTATGAGGAGCAAATACATAGACGGAATGGACAACAAGTATATGATGCCGGGCACGATGCACCAGAATTCTTGTGGGTGTAGGCAGGCTGCTATGAAGAATGAGCTCGACAATGATATTAAGAAGATTGCCGAGGGCGAGCCTATACCGTCCTCGCCAAGCTGTAGGGCAGTACCTACGATTACCGCCATCATGATCATCGCGTACGCCGTCGACAGGATCTGGGCGCATAAAAGCTGAAAACCACTCATATTTAATTCCTTCCCGTTCCTTTGAAAGCATCTTTGGAACGGGTTCGACTCAAGGAACACACAAAAGTTAACGAAACATTAAAATTATTTTATTTTGATTTTTAACGTCAATAGTGAATAGTATTTTGTAATCAAGAGTCATTATTTTTATTTTTTCTTGGTATGTTCCTTGAAGAGTAGTACAAAAGTTCGCAAATGCTATACGGAAAATTAATCGACACTGCGTGAAAGAATATATTATTATTATTATGATATATTATTATTATATATTATGCGATATTATAATTAAGAATTCTGGTTCTGATGAAAGTGAATTCCACGAGCAAAGGACGATCACAAAATGTGCGACATAAAGCGGATATGCATGGACACTTGTACACAAACGCGATCAAAAGGGAAATACCTGTATGTTCGATTTGCACGTGAAACAGACGATCATGAAGAGCAAAATGGGAATGATGTTGTAGTAGAAGCTGGTCCAGTTGTCGATTTTGAAAGCAGCTACGAAGGCACCCACCAACATGAGGAAGATCGTGCCAGGTCCCAAAATCGTACCACCTGTTTTATTTAAAGCACAAAGATATTACATACAACATTTATACAATATTTTAATCGATGAATTTTTTAATTAAAATTCGAAATATTTATATCCCAATATTTAAAATTATAATATATTCTAGATACATCATATGCATTACAACACAAAAATTAAAATATTCTAATATTTTAAATTCTAATATTTTTTAGATATTTTTTAATTAATAAAAACATATAAACATTTAATTTTATACAAATATTTAATTGTAATTTGATCTGATTTAATCAAATGAAATTTATTCAACATAGTGAAGAACGATATATAATTCAGAGAATGAATTGAGAGAAGTACTTGCCCATCAATAGAATTTGATACGAAATGTAAGGTAATGAGATATTATCATTGATTTTGATTGTACGTTTCGCATCCATCAGCAGATCCATAATATTTGCAATGGTAGAGGGTACCCAACGACGTCGTTGATTGTAAAACTCGTTAAATCCTTCCGGTGCATGAGTATAAGCATCACTCGCTGCAGAATACTCCACCTGGAGTGTAATATAAAAAATAAGATAAATTTTAAAATATGAATAATTATATTTAATATAATAAAACTGTTATGAAAACAAAATATAATAATAATAAATCAATTATAATGCAATGAATTAAATATAATATACATTAGACGGGATGAAGTCATGTAGTGACGAGATCAGTGCATACCCTGTAGCCTCGTTGCAATAGCAACGTGCACAGCCAACGATCCTCTCCTTGATCGTACTGCACGTAGTGTCTCGCCTCGTCAGACTTGGTCGTGTATTTTTTCATCACGTTGTCGTCCATCAATGCCTTACCACGGAATAGCGAGAAGCATCCGGGACTGCAGAGCACGCAGCCGATCATGTGTTCTGTGGCTTTTTGCAGCCAGTGACCGATCGCGTATTCGAACATTTGATACCACACCATAGGACCTGGAATATTTGCGAAACATCTTGTTTATGATCGTTTATATTATTGCAATAGTTAATTTAATTTATTTTTTCTTGTTGGATCAATCATAGGCGTAAGAAAACTTAGACTGCGCAAATCCTATATAAAGATTATCACATGTTTACAGTGCTCGCAAAAATCTGCACATTCAAGCCAATTCCTGAGGGTGCCACTTACTGACCCCTACTATTGTTCGAGGTTCAGCGGCCTAGTTGCCGATCGTGCACGTGATTGTGTTCCAAAATTGACTACCAGTATTGAAAATCTATAGTACATGTAACGTAAACTGTAGCAGTGCTGGCAGTAAATTTGGAACACAACCGACAGATGCGTTCAGCAATATTAAATCTGAGATGTAAGTTAGCAGATGGCTTCATCATGGATCATGTAATTCTCTTGCTCTTCAAACAATCTGAGTATCAAGAATTAATTTCGAACGAACTACAATATTAATACATACAGTATAGACACTTAGCGTCGACTTTGATGTAGTGGGTTCCAGGTCACATGACTCGCCGCCATGTTGTGGATTGGAAAGGCGCTTATAAATTTGAGTTTTTATAAAGCTACAGAAATTTTTCTAAAAATAAAAAGACATAATTCGGTCGTGTCATGAAAATTGTTTATAATGAGTATATTTTTAAATCAAATTATCTAATAATATAATGTTAACAAAC